CTCTCTCTCTCTCTCTCTCTCTCTCTCTCTCTCTCTCTCTCGTGTTATCTCCGGTCCCCTTTTTTTCTTCTTCCGTGGCCGCCATGTGAGGCGATAAGCTCCACGTTCCGATGTGGCGATAGTGCGGCTCTGATCACGGCGATAAACGCCTCCCAACCCCCGCGCTGGTCCTGGCTTCAACACACACACCAACCACACACCAACCACACACACACACACACACACACACACACACACACACACACACTGGCGCCACCGTACTTCTCACTGTGGCAAGGTAATCAGGTAATAGAGTTAGTGGATGAGGTGGTGGATGAGGTGGTGGTGGTGGAGAAGGTTAAGGAGGTGGTGGTGAAGGTTAAGGAAGTGTTGATGGTGGTGGTGGAGAAGGTTAAGGAGGTGTTGATGGTAGTGGTGATGATTGTGTTGATGGTGGTGGGTGTGGAGGAGTGAAGAAGGTTGTGGTGAGTGGAAGAGCGAAGGAAAAAGGCTGTAGGGGAGAGAGAGAGAGAGAGAGAGGGAGTGTGGGGGAGTAAATGGGGGAGAGGGTAGTGGGGTGTGTGGGGTGATGTAGTGGGGTGTGTGGGGGTGATGTAGTGGGGTGTGTGTGGGGGTGATGAATGCGGTGTGTGGGGTGATGTGGTGAAATTGAGATGAGAGGGGGGTTCTGGGGGCAGGGGGTTAGAGGAAGAGAAGAGATAGAGGTCTGATGAACGGATGAAAGTGGTGGGGGGAGATTAAGAAGAGGGTTGGGTGAAGAGGGTGGGGAGGTTAGTGTTAGGGAGGATGGGGTTGATGGGTGGAGAGGTGGGAGGAGGTTAGTGTATGGGGGAGGTTATGGCTGGAAGGTGGGAGGTTAGTGTGGATGAGACAAATGGGGTTGGAATGTGGAAGGGGTGAGAAGAAGGAAGGTCCTTGATGGATGGGTGGATGGAAGAGAAGGTGGTGAGTGACTGTATAAGAGGTGGAGTGGAGGATGGTGAGGAAGGGAAGGGGGAGAGGGCTGACAGGTGATTGAATAGGGGAGGGGGTGATTGCTGGATGGAGGAGAGGGGTGATTGCTGGATGGAGAGAGGGAGGGTGATTGCTGGTTGGAGGAGAGGGAGGGTGTGGGAGGTACAGTGTTCAAGATGGGTGATCTGGAGAAGAGGAGAAGAGAATGGGTGAGGAGAATGAACAGGGGAAACCGAATAGGGGGGGAGAGGAGTGGGGGAAGGATGGAAAGGTTGGTAGGCGAGAGAGAGAGAGAGAGAGAGAGATGATGGATGATGTCAACATGTACTGAACATGTCATGAACCCATCACTCAACAGGACTAACACACACACACACACACACACACAACTATAATTATGTCGTAATATGTATATACAATTACACATATCACACACCCAGTCATAAATAACTCATACCTATAAATAAATGTGTATTATCATAAATATACACACAGATATCATGACCAGTACACACAACTATCATACACACATAATTTCATACATATAAATAAGTGTGTATTCTCCTAAGTAAACACAAACATTACAACAAGTAGCAGGGAAGACTATCAGGGGCTACGAACGGACACATCATCGGCCATCCCAGTATTTCAACATTTATCTGACATTTAAGATAATTCCTTCACATTTGGGCAGATTAGAGCAAGTTTATGTGCGGTGATTCATGTTTCAGAGCCCGGTGATTCATGAAGTTGTATCTCCCAAAACGAGCCTCCCACTACCCGGGTTCGATCTATAGTGCTTAGAACCACTTAACCCTACTACCACTGAGTCCGACCCATAGTGCTTTACCGAGTCTAATCCATACTGCTTCGAAACCTCCTATCACCGACCCTCCCCAGTCCTTCTTGATCTGGTTTCCCTGTGTTGTAAGTTTATAACACCGACAGAGAGAGAGAGAGAGAGAGAGAGAGAGAACGTACAAAACATCCATGGTAAAATAACTCGAGCCCTTGGCAACACTGCAGGGGGATCTTTAATAACAGGTCGTTGTTGGCAGAGCTGCTTCCCACTAACGAGAAGGTAAGGCCATATTTATTCTGATAATAGTTAAGGAGAAACCCGGAAGTAGATAACGTTATCAGTTGTTCCTAGGACCACTCAGAGATGCACAACACGAAACTAACACTTCATAGACTATAAGATTGTGCTGTGGTACAAAATAAAAATGACAAATACGAAAAAAAAATACCATACCCACCACCAAACTCCACTACCCCGCCACCATACCCCCACCACTACCACCATACCCCCACCACTACCATACACTACCACCATACCTTACTACCATCCTTACTTTATCACCAACATCGCTTTTTAAGTTATAATATAAACGAGTCTTCCTCTGGAGTCTATCATCACCTTCCCGCTATCATCATCACCACCTTCCTCAGGCCAGTTCCTTTCACCATCACCACACGAACCGTATGTGTCACTCACTCACTCACTCACTCACACGCACGCAACTGGTGGATTCATTATTATTCGTAAAGTAAATTTTTAACCCCGGAAAAATTCATTATTATTGTTTAGGCGTTATTAATAGTCATTATCGTTGTTATTGTCATTATTAGAAGTATCGTTATTGTTATTACTATTATGGGTATCGTACTGTTATCGTTAAGTGTCGTACTGTTATCGTTAAGTGTCGTACTGTTATCATCAAAGTATCGTACTGTTATCATCAAAGTATCGTACTATTATCGTTAAGTGTCGTACTGTTATCGTTAATTGTCGTACTGTTATCATCAAAGTATCGTACTGTTATCATCAAAGTATCGTACTGTTATCATCAAAGTATCGTACTGTTATCACTACATTAAGCGTTATCATTCCTCTCACTATCTGCAATAACCACTATGACTATTATAACCTCATCAACACAGATATCACAAGATGGCACCATATCGTCACCATCAATTACATCATCACAATCGTTACACTATCCTGTACAGTTACATTATTACTTAAACATAATCACCATCATTATTCTTTACACGTCATCAAAATCCTATTAACATCACCATCACTGCACTATCACTCATGTCATTAACTCACTATCTCTACATTGACATTAACATATCACCATTCACAATCAGCAATCGCACTATCACCTCCATCAATACCTTATCACCACCATCATCATCATCATCAATGCACTATAACTAATACTTTATCAATCACCATCATCATCACCATCCACCCATGTGTCCACCTGCACCACCTCCCCCCCAACATCCTACGTCTTTTAACGTAATCCTTCCAGAGGTGGTCGAGATGACGGAACCGATAAAGTAGAGAGATGAGAGAAAGCGATAGCCAGAGAGATGAGAGAGGCCGATAACGCTAAGAGATGGAAGGTGCTGATAGTGAGAGACAAAGCGTACGAAGGGGGTGGGGAGGGGGTGATGAAGGGGGGATGTGAGTGAGTGAGAGACAGCAAGAGAGAGTTAATGTAAATACTAGCCACAAAAAGAAAGAGAGAGAGAGAGAGAGAGAGAGATTATCATTCAAATACCATCAAATATTACTAATACCACTGTACAGGTAGTACCAATCATCAGTAGTTGAAATTGCAATATGAAGGATATGTACAATCGTCTACTACTACTACTACTACTATCATTCTATCACTACTAATATTAAAAATACTTACTAATCACTACTACAATTCTACTACTTCTAATATTAATAACACTTAGTAATCACTACTACTACTCACACTACTATTACTACACACTACTACTACGACAATTCTACTACTTCTAATATTAATAACACTTCGTAATCACTACTATCACTACTACTACTCACACTACTATTACTACACACTACTACTACTACAATTCTACTACTTCTAATATTAACAATACTTCGTAATCACTACTATCACTACTACTACTCACACTTTACTAATAAACCACTATATATTCGACAGACAAACACATGTACACGTCATTCACTGTCGGTCTAACTCAATTTGTATACATTATGCATTACAAACTTGACATATAGATGATGTACATACAACACTCTTGGCGTTCACATGTAAGTATTATGCGCTGCTAGCGTTTTTATGTAAGTATTATGCACTACTAGCGTTTACATATAATATACATTACTAGCGTTCACATGTAAACATTATACACCACTAGCGTTCACATATAAACATTATACACCACTAGCGTTCACATGTAAACATTATACACCACTAGCGTTCACATATAAACATTATCACCACTAGCGTTCACATATAAACATTATACACCACTAGCGTTCACATATAAACATTATACACCACTAGCGTTCACATATAAACATTATACACTACTAGCGTTCACATATAAACATTATACACCACTAGCGTTCACATATAAACATTATACACCACTAGTGTTCACATATAAACATTATACACCACTAGCGTTCACATATAAACATTATACACCACTAGCGTTCACATATAAACATTATACACCACTAGCGTTCACATATAAACATTATACACCACTAGCGTTCACATATAAACATTATCACCACTAGCGTTCACATATAAACATTATACACCACTAGCGTTCACATATAAACATTATACACCACTAGCGTTCACATATAAACATTATACACCACTAGCGTTCACATGTAACATTATACACCACTAACGTTCACTATAAACATATACACCACTAGCGTTCACATATAAACATTATGCCACTAATTCCACATATAAACATTATACACCACTAGCGTTCACATATAAACATTATACACCACTAGCGTTCACATATAAACATTATACGCCACTAGCGTCTCGTGTATCATTCATCACTAGCGTTCACATTTAAGTATTAACATCATTAGCGTTCATATATAAACACCATTGATTTCCAGATGTAAACGTTATTCACCTTTGTCGTTCACTAATAAACACTGGTTCACAACTAAACAACACTCCTAGGTGGTTAAAGCATGTGTGTATATCACTTACTGTTGCCTGTGGCGTAGGCTAGTCTTGCCAGCAGCTTATACATATGGATCTGTTGTTGTTGATATGTAGCGGAGGACGCATTGGCGCTCAATTGTAGCGTGTTCAGCACTGCGCCTAAGTCCATGGCTCCTTCTAGTAGTCGACCACCACACCAGCGAACGTGTCCTCCCACTCCACTGGCGTATTCTGTACTATCGCTCACCGTCACCACTCACCAGCCCAGCAGTGAAACTTAGCACAGAGGCTCAACATCAGCGCACAAAGCAATGTTGCCCAGTTGATGTGTCGATATTAATATCTTGCTTACGACTGTTGCTTTACAGTAACTTAATTTTTCTCTAGTATCTATCAGTCACGTTATTTACCACTTGCTCTTCAATGTAAACGTATCTAGTCACAAACACCACAAAATAGCGTAATTCAGCAGGAGCGCTCAACGTTAGCGTATGTGGCGGCAGGGAGGTAGTGGTGCGGAGAGCAGCGGTGACGTCCTCCCACTAGGGTGAGGCGGAGTGACTGGCGGCAGTGGGCTGGGCGACGCTAGCCTGGCAAGAGCTGCTATAGGGAACAGCTGAGTAGCCCCTCCCCCTCCCTCCCGCCTCCCGCACTTTACCCTCCCCGCCCTCCCCCCACCACAGCGCCATCAGACTTCATGTTTCTCCACCAGTCCGCATTTTTATCGTCTTCTAACTTCCTCCCCCTCTTCCTGTGACCGCTCTGTTCACACTTGTTGGCGACTGCTACGAAGGGAATGACTTTTACGCGTGGGTGGCGAAGAGGGAGGAGGAGGAGGAGGGGTCCTGGATGGGTGTGAGTGTTGGGGCTGCTTACTGGTGCGGTTGAAAGTTGAGGTTGCTGGCGGCGAGAGTGTGGACACCCTAAATAAGGCGTGATGGAAGCGATAAAATACGTAGACGAGAGTTGGTTTATTGACACTCCATAACAAACCAGAGATTTGAGGATTTTTTTCCCCCCATTTTTTTTTCATCGTCTTAAATCATTTATCTATGTTTACAGATCATAAACAAGAAATTGAACTCAAGGAATGTTACGTTTGTCACTAAATTGTTAAGAAGCACTGAGAAGGAGAGAGAGAGAGAGAGAGAGAGAGAGAGAGAGAGAGAGAGAGGGAGAGACTAAACATGGGGGGTGTTCATGAGAGAAGGAAGGTAGGGGGAGCAGCTTATGAGAGGAGAGGGAGAGGGTGGAATGAGTGGTCAGGTGTAGCGTGGTGGAGACAGGTAGGTGGGGGGAGGACCCAGCTGACAGTAAAGGAGGGAGAGACAGGTAGGTGGGGGGGACCAGCAGACAGTAAAGGAGGGAGACAGGTAGGTGGGGGGGAGGACCCAGCTGACAGTAAAGGAGGAGAGACAGGTAGGTGGGGGGAGGACCCAGCTGACAGTAAAGGGGGAGACAGGTAGGTGGGGGAGGACCCAGCTGACAGTAAAGGGGAGAGACAGGTAGGTGGGGGAGGACCAGCTGACAGTAAAGGGGGAGAGACAGGTAGGTGGGGAGACCCAGCTGACAGTAAAGGGGGGGAGACAGGTAGGTGGGGGAGGGAGGACCCAGCTGACAGTAAGAAGGGAGAGACAGGTAGGTGGGAGGATTCAGCTGACAGTACAGACAAGACACATGGGCTGTTCCTCAATGATCTCTGTGTACTACTAACACAAACTATCTATGAGTGCTTACGTAACAAGAACAGTAACAACTAACAATAATACACAACAATAATAACAAAACAATAATAATAAAACAACAATAATTATAACAACAACTACAATAATCAAACAACAAAAGGTACAGAAAAAGATAATATAAACAGGAACCAAGAAATAAATGATAAAAAACACCAAAAAAATGGAGAAATAACAATACTGACGAGAGAGAGAGAGAGAGAGAGAGAGAGAGAGAGAGAGAGAGAGAGAGAGAGTATTATTGCAGAGGTGATGGTGGGTCCTGTCTAGAGGAGGTGTGAATGAGAGATGTGGTGAAGTGAGGTGAGGTGGGTCCACTCTCAAAGTCAGGTATAGTGTTGGTGGAATGGTGATTACAGTGATGGCGGTGCACAAAGATGTGTGTCCTCCCTCCCTCCTCTCCCTTACGTCAGGGCTCTGGAGGTTGTCACTTCATGTCAGAGGCCAGGACGACCTAACTCTTCCTACCTGAGGTTAGGTTAGGTTAGTTGGGTTAAGATATATTAAGTTAGCTTGTGTTAATAGACGCTATATAAGTGTAAATATCCCGGTAGACTACATACTATAGTTGACCCAATTATTATTTACTATACACTAATTACAGGTAATACAATTAATTACTATTATTAATATAGAGGTATATAGCTATCATCATTACCATCCCTATATCACATTACTAAACATACGACTACCAACACACAATACATATATTATAAAAAAGGTCACCTCTCATGCCAACAGATCATTAGCGACGACATTCTAATAGATTAATGACGTCATATCTTGTGTCGATCTTGAAGGAACTTGAACGAAAGAATAGAACGTATCTGAAGATGGTGTTTATGTTAGTATGGTAATAATATCTATTTACCTGTGATTCATTACTTGTCAAAATGTTTCACTTTTTTGGGGGGGTCCTTTTTTCCCCTTAAACCTTAACCACCTCAACCCCTTGATTCTGGAGCCTTAAAGGGGAAAGGGAGGGATGAGATGATGTCTACATTCTCCCTATACACACACATAGACTGTAGTTCATTTTAAGATGTATACAAATTTGTGTTTATGTGTGAATGAGTTAGTGTGAGACAGACAGGCAAAACAGACAGACAGACACAGACAGACAGATGACCAGGTAAGGAATGGAGTAAAAGAACAGTAGAATGGTAGACTATGAAAGGGTGTCAGGTACTGGAGACTGACGCAGATTACACCCACTACCTGTCAGAGGTTGCTGGGGTAGGTGGGTCAGTTGGCCAGGTGGGAAGGAAGGGGTGGAAGTGGGGGGAGGAGGTGAGGAGGAGGAACATGAAGGAGGAAGAAGAAGAAGAAGAAGAAGAAGAAGGGTAGAGGAGTGCAGCAGGTAAGTGGTGTAAGTGAGGATGACCTGAGGAAGCTATAAACTGGTTTGGGGTGATGTGACTCAGCAGCAGTGAAGATGATACTTGGGTGATATACAATGAGTGATGTACTGGGGTAAGGGAAGGAGAGGAGAGGAGGAGGAGAGGAGAAGGAAGAGGGAGGAGGAAGAGGGGAGGAGGAAGAGGTGAGGAGGAAGATGTGGAGGAGGAAGAGGTGAGGAGGGAAGAGGTGAGGAGAGGAGGAGATAGGGGGAGAGGAGGAAGAGGTGAGGAGGAAGAGGTGAGAGGAAGAGGTGGGAGGAGAGAGTGAGGGAGATAGAGGTGAGGAGGAAGAGGAGAGGGAGAGGAGAGATAGAGGGGTGAGGAGGAAGAGAGGAGAAGGAAGAGGTGAGGAGGAAGAGGTGAGGAGGGGAGGAAGGAGGAGGAAGATGTGAGGGAGGAAGAGGTGAGGAGGAAGAGGTGAGGAGGAAGAGGTGTGAGGAGGAAGAGGTGGGAGAAGAAAAGGAGAGAGAGAAGGTAAGGAAGAGATGAGAAATAGAGGGGGGGGGAAGGAAACTATTTGAGACCTTTGGAAGACGAGAAAGGAGAAGGAAGATGAAGAAGAGAAGGAAGGGAAGAGGAGTAAGATGAGGAAGAGGGGGGGAGGGGGAGAGGAAGCTTTTTAGGACTTGTACGAAAAGTATGAAAAAACACAGAAAACTGAAAATTTTAAAACTTTAAATTTCCCAACCTATCCCAACCCCTGCGTGAATAAAGACTTCCTGAGCTCACAGTAAAAGACAAATTATCAAAGAAAGAAAAAAAGGAAAAATACTTAAATAACTACTATAGACAATACAAGTAAGATTAGGGAAAGAAAATACGTAAAAAAGATGTTATTAGAGAAGAGATAGTTGGAGGTGGGGAGGATGGAAAGAGACGGGAGGACTGTTTGAAGAGTCTCTCTCTCTCTCTCTCTCTCTCTCTCTCTCATGTACAGTAGATAAGTAACAAAACGAAACCTTAAATATTCCTCAATCAAACACAAACATGAAATAGATGAACGACACCCAGACAAAGATCAATATATATTTTGAAGAAGTTTGATCAATAAACTGGAATCACTTCACTTTCTTCTCAAATACAGAAACGTCGATAGAACAAGGAGCACTATTGTTACGGCTACCTGTCTCATAACGGGTGACTTACCCAGCTGTCAAGGTCACTGTTAACGTGTATAGGTTGGACCTGTTAACCACATTATAGGTATCATAGCTCAGACACCCCAGACAAGGAGCCCTTCCCTGGGTAGGTAGCCAAGGAGTTGTGCCAGTAGGTAGCCAAGGAGTTGTGCCCTAGGTAGGTAGCTGGGGAGTTGTGCCCCAGGTAGGCAGGGAGTTGTGCCCCAGGTAGGTAGCCATGAGTTGTGCCCAGGTAGGTAGCCATGAGTTGTGCCCCAGGTAGTAGCCGAGGAGTTGTGCCCAGGTAGGTAGCCATGAGCCGTGCCCAGGTAGGCAGCTGGCGAGTTGTGCCCCAGGTAGGCAGCCAGGAGCCGTGCCCAGGTAGGTAGCCAAGGAGTTGTGCCCCAGGTAGGTAGCCAGGAGTTGTGCCCAGGTAGGTGGCAAGGAGTTGTGCCCGGTAGCTGGGTTGTGCCGGGGTAGCTGGGCGAGTTGTGCCTCAGGTAGGTAGCCAGGAGTGTGCCAGGTAGTAGCCAGAGGGTAGGTAGCCGGACGTGCCCTAGGTAGGCAGCCAAGAAGCCATTACAGAGGAGCGTGTGGGGTGGGGAAGACCGCAAGATACAACAGGAGATCACGAGAGAATAGTAATTTCCCGTTTTCCATTATTGGGTCTCCCCCGGGCGGCTGGGGGGCGAGGGAAGAGGAGAAGCTGATATGATCGCGATAAGCCAGGCAGATAACAGTGCGAGGGAAATAGAAAATCATAACGCGATAGTGGCACAAGAAAATGGGGAAGAGTCAGAAGAAAATGGGCAAGATCAAAGGGGTGCCATTAACTGTGAATGTTATCATGGGTGAGGGGGGGAGGGGTAGGGAGGGGTGGAAGGGAGGAAAGGGGGTGAATGAGGAAACATATAGGACGAGGAAAAAAGGGATGATGGGAGAGACAGGTGTGTGTGTGGGGTGTGTGTGTGTGTGGGGAATGTGTGTGGTGTGTGGGGGAATGTGTGTGTGGGGGTGTGGGGGGGGGGTGTGGGGTGTGTGTGGGGTGTGTGTGGGTGGGTGGGGGTGTGGGGTGTGTGGTTGGGGGTGTGTGTGGGTGTGTGTGTGTGGGGTGTGTGGGTGTGTGGGTGGGGGAATGTGGGGGTGAAGTGGGGTGTGGTTGGGTGTGTGGGGTGTGTGGGGGCATGTGTAGAGTGTAGGGGTGTGGTGTGGGGGAATGTGTGGGCATGGGTGTGGGGATGTGTGGGGAATGTGTGTGGGGGTGGGGGGATGGTGTGGAAGGGTGGGGAGTG